ATGGCAAAGACTCCCCTATTTGCCATCATTATCTAGCCTCCTCATTTATTTATCAGCCAACAAAATAAACTTTTAGTGATTTTAGTTATTTAAAAAGGCAATGTTGAATTTTCAATTGCCAATTACATTTAAAACCTGAAATATCGTGAAATTATTGTTGCTGCGAAATGTTTGAAAATGCCAGATGAGACATGAGAAAGATTGTTAGTGATGTATAAATATATAAATTTATACATGTATAATGTATAATGTATAAATTTATAAATGTATAAATTCATTAGACAACACAGGCGTTTCTGTGGGCCTGGGCAGATGATGCTCAGTGGTGGATGGTGATCAAACACTGATGTGATCAAGACCTACAACAGTTGCCTCACATGGCAAAGCCCCAGGTTAAGTCTTCAGCACCAACATTGAAGTTGCTGGCTTGCATGGACCAGCAAATCTAAATAACCTTAAAGTTTGATTTAGTAGCTGTGTCTTTGAGGAATGGGAGACCTAACTTCAGATCTGGGCATTGTGGGAAAGTGGGCTAGAGAACTCCCTACAGTGGCAGCGACCATACAGATTAAACAAATATCAGACTTACAAAGATAGTATATGCAAACAAATATGCTTTTCTCATCGCTAGCTCATGGCAGAGGGATGAAAGAAGGCTCCTCTAAGAATTATTGGCCACAAGCTGCTCTTAATGGAAAAATCCAAGCAAAAATTTAAATGAAAACGGATCTATGCTGGAACTATGCCAATGTTCCTAAGCATCACTGCATAAGCTTTTTAAAATAATACACTGTCAACTCAGGACACAAAGAACTTCTGGAGATGAAATTCCAGGAAAGAGAAGCTAATGTTAAAAATATATTAATAATAAATGTATGAGGAAAAAAACTATACTACCATGGGCACTCGTTGCTAAAAGAATGAAGAGCCAAAGTAGATGTATAAGTGCCATGGGCTTTCAAAAAGAGATCTAAGAAGTTTCCAGAAAGATCTAACAGATAAAATGTCTACTGAGAAAATAAGACTATAATAATTAATTAAATAGACAATGGAAGTTTTAAAATAATGACAGTGTGGCTTGCATTGAACCATCCAGATGCAGCTAATTTATATATAAAGTGTGAAGGCACTGGAGAGCAGTAAAAATAAATCAATATCTAAGCCTTGATAAAGGGCATCCTGCTAGATGAGACCCACATTTGAAAACTGCTGCATAGGTGTTTACTGAGAGCATGCTTCAGTGGATAAGGAGTTAGAATTAAACCTTTCTTTAACATCATACCCAATAAGTGATACTGGACAGTCTTCCATTAGATGGAGAACAAAAAGAGATGGTCTGATCTTAGAATATTAACCTTGTAATAGGTTTCAGGAAATGAAATAAACCAAATCAGAAAATCAGATGAGTCACTTCTTTTTATTTATTATTTTATTTTTATTATTTATTTTTTATTTAATATTTCTTAGCGATGTCTAAAGAATTCATCAAAGAAGTACTTAGAATGAGTGAGTTAGCCACCAAGGGCAAAAAATAATAATAATAAACAAGTAAAATTCTGTTTTTCACCGAGTAATGATAAAAACTTATAAATGAAATAAAATAACATAATATTGAAATTGCAAAATATTATGTTAAAATAGTATCACCATTGTGAATAAATAATGAAATAAATTATACAAAGATGTATAATAGCTATTCACTGAAAATCATAGAATATTAATACAAATAATTATATGACACTGTATACTATGTTCATGATTTGTAGAAAGTAATATTTTATAAAGCAAAATTGTCTGAAGATGTCTATATTTTCCAAGTTGATTTATAGATTCTTTGTCAGTGCAATCAAAATATGAGTGGATGGACACATTTTAGAAATGGTGAATGGTTTTCTAACGTTTACATGCAAATATAGAATGTTAAGAAGAATTAGTAATTACTTTGTAAAAGAAGAGCAACATACGAAACATTACTCTTTCCAGTGTCAACACCTTATTGGAAAGGTACAGTCCTCATAGTGATGTGACATTAGTGTAAGGACAGACACATGACCTCGTAGATATGCACATTAGTGAGAAAATCTTATTAGAAAGCTCCAGTTGTCATAGTGCTGTGAAATTGGTGTGAGGATAGACACATGACCTCCTAGACAAGCACATTAGTGAATCTTATTACAATGCTACAGTTGTTATAGTGGTGTGACTTTGGTGTAAGGACAGACACATGACCTTGTAGAAAGTTCACAGACAGACATGCACATTAGTGAAAGAATAAGGCTGTCCTTTCCAAAAGACACTGATGGAACAACTGGAGAATAACCACCTGTGAAACAAATTAAAAACCTGATTCATACCTCATACTGTATTCAACAAGAAAGAAGTATCATGCTATTACATCTGGGATAGGCAGATTTTCTAGAAAGCGAATAGTATTAATATTAAAGGAGAAAGGGGTTCCTTAGACTCCTAAATATCAGAAAATACTGATTATTAGTGTATACTGCCAAGAAAGCACATAGGCATGATATAAACTGGGAGAAATATTTATGCTTTATTGGCATAACAGTGAGCTTGTGTCTAGAATATACAAAAAACTCTCACAACTCTTCAATAGTAAAAAAGAGAAAGTATTTTTTAAATACTCAAAAACCTTGAAAACACATTTTATTAAAGCAGGCATGGGAAGGATCACTCCCCATTATTCAGTCATCAAGAGAAAATTCAATGAAAGCCACAAAGAAATGGCATTTCATAGACACTACAATTAATACATTGACAAAAAATAAAAATTCAAATGTCGGTGAGGACATTCCTACACATTTCTTGTGTAGGAGTTTAATCTGCATCAAATCCAGTGAATTGCACACCAAAGAGCAGTGTGCTTTATTACCTGTAAATTATTTGTCTGTTAAAAAATGTAATAGAATATTGTCACAAAAAGAGAAGTCAGGGACTTAAAGAAAATTGGCTAATTACAGAGAATGTAAGGGACCTAAAAACTGGAACTAAAAAATAAATGAAGAAATTTAGAGAATACAGTAAGAAAAAAGTTTGGTTTTCGATACAAAAATAATATAGAGAGTGGGGCTAAAAGAAGTATTAAACAAATAAACAACAACAACAACAAAAACACTAACGACTGGGTAAAAGGTTGCTGGGGCCAAGCCTGGTGACAGACCTGAGTTTGATCCCCAGGACTCACATGATGAAATGAGAGAACTGCCTCCTGCAAGCTACCCTATGACATTTACATGCATACCATGATACACATGTGTATAGTTGTACACATATCTGTATGCATACACATGCACACACATACACACACACACACACACACACACACACACACACACAGGAACAGAGAGATGACAAACAAAGAGAGACAGACAGAATAATAAATGTAATTTTTAAATATTTTAAAAGCTGAAAAATTTCCACCCACACATTCATACACATATACTACACACACACACAAATAACAGTATCACATACATGCAAACTGATTATGAGGTAAAGAAACACCAACAGATTTACACTAGGACAAATTGTACTTGTTTGATCTCCTATTCTTTCACATGTCAATCTAAAATGAGT